ACGAAACTCGAGGCCAAATTTTTCCAAAAAAAAAAAAAAAAAAACTTGCCGAAGGTCAAATTTCACGAAAGTCGAGGCTGCCGAAACTCGGGGGTCCACTGTATATGAAAGTGGCGTAAGTGTGGCCGAACTGGCCAGGATGTATAACAAACCCTATACAACCATATGTTCCATCGTGGCCAAGAAAAAGGAAATCAAGGACACTGTTGTTGCAAAAGGGGGTAAATATGCTGACAAAAATGAGATCACCAGTAATCGAAGAGGTTGAGAAGTTATTACTGGTGTGGATAAACAAGAAACAATTAGCATGAGATAGTCTTAAGACGTCGATTATTTGTGAAAAGGCTAGGCAGCTGCACGACGATCTGGTAAAGAAATTGCCTGCAAATAGTGGTGATGTGAGTGAATTGAAGGCCAGCAAAGGTTGGTTTGAGAGATTTAAGAACCGTAGTGGCATACCCATTGTGGTAAGGCATGGTGAGGCTGCCAGTTCAGACCACAAAGCAGCTGAAATATATGTGCATGAATTCAAGGAGTACATAGAGGCTGAAGGACTGAAACCTGAACAAGTGTTCAATTGTGACAAAACAGGTCTCTTTTGGAAGAAAATGCCAAAGAGGACCTACATTACACGGGAAGAAAAGGCACTGCCAGGACACAAGCCTATGAAAGACAGGCTGACGCTCATGTTATGTGCTAATGCTAGTGGGGATTTTAGAGTGAATCCGTTACTAGTGTACCATTCTGAAAATCCCAGAGTGTTCAGGAAAAACAATGTTATGAAGAGTAAATTGTGTGTGTTTTGGAAATCTAATAGTAACGCATGGGTCACGAGGGACATTTTCATCAAGTGGTTCAATGAAGTGTTTGACCCTAGTGTGAAGAATTACCTCCTGGAAAAGAGATTGGATCTCAAGTGCCTTCTAGTAATGGACAATGCACCTCATCCTCCAAACTTGGATAACCTAATTTTCGAGGAGTTTGGGTTCATCACAGTAAAGTTCTTGCCTCCCAATACCACTCCTCTCCTCCAGCCCATGGACCAGCAGGTCATTGCAAACTTTAAAAAAAACTACACCAAAGCAATGTTTCAAAGGTGCTTGAATGTGACCTCAGACACTCACTTGACCCTAAGAGATTTTTGAAGAGAACACTTCAGCATCCTCCATTGCATAACCCTTATAGGTACGGCTTGGGAGGGAGTTACTACCAGGACTTTGAACTCTGCCTGGAGAAAATTGTGGCCAGATTGTGTTCACAAGAGGGATTTTGAAGGGTTTGGGGCTGACCCTGATGAGCCTATGTCTGTTGTTAAATCTATTGTGGCACTGGGGAGTTCCATGGGGTTGGATGCGAGTTTGGAGGATGTGGAAGTGTTGGTGGAAGACCACAACGAAGAGCTCACCACTGAGGAGCTGCAAGAGCTTCAGCAGGAAGGGCAACACATCGCAGCTCAGAATCTTGCTGCAGAGGAGGAAGAAGAGAGATGGTAGAAGCTGCCTTCTTCAGAAATTAAGGAGATTTTTGAAATGTGGGGTAAGATGGAAAGATTTATGGAGAAACATCACCCTGACAAGGCTGTTGAAAGCCATGTTGGCAACATGTACAGTGACAAAGTCTTGGCCCATTTTAGGGAAGTGTTAAGGAGACGGCAGAAACAGAGCTCTCTGGATAGTTATTTTGCGAGACAGGACTCCAGTGCCTCTCAAGCTGGTCCTAGTGGCATTAAGAAACAGAGAAGAGAAGTAACCCCAGAAAAGCAATTGGTACCTGAGGTGCTGATGGAAGGGGATACCCCTTCCAAACTGCAAATAATCCAATCTCTCTCCTCCTCCAGTCTTCCATACACTAAGAAGAATCGCCAATAAAAAATAAGTGTTATGCTGTTAATGTTTCATTCATATTTTCCCCTTGTACTGTTTATGTACTACATCTATATTTCATGTAAAAATTTTTTTGTTTTAATACTTCTGGGTGTCAGGAATGGATTAATTATATTTACATTATTTCTTATAGGGAAAATTGATTCGAAAATCGTAATTTCGATAATAGTAACACCTCCAGGAACGGATTAATTATGATAAACGAGGGACCACTGTACTTGCAACATCTGTGACATTGCTCCCCTATCCACTCTATCATATGCATATTCTAAATCCATAAATTCGAACTGTGGAAATTAGGTCATGTGGAGCTAATAAAAGTATTAGTCAGAAGGTTGAAGAGGGGTTGTTGAGGTGGTTTGGTCATTTAGAGAGAATGGATCAAAGTAGAATGACGTGGAGAGCATATAAATCTGTAGGGGAAGGAAGGCAGGGCAGGGGTCGTCCTTGAAAAAGTTGGAGGGAGGGGCTAAAGGAGGTTTTGTGGGCGAGGGGCTTGGACTTCCAGCAATCATACGTAAGCGTGTCAGATAGGAGTGAATGGAGACAAATGGTTTTTGGGACATAACGAGCTCTTGGAGAGTGATCAGGGTAATATTTAGTGAAGGGATTCAGGGAAACCGGTTATTTATAAATAGCCGGACTTGAGTAATGGAAATGGGAAGTACAATGCCTTCACTTTAAAGGAGGGGTTTGGAATATTGGCAGTTTGGAGGGATATGTTATATATCTTTATATATGCTTCTAAACTGTTGTATCTGGGTGTCTCTGCAAAGAGAGTGATTATGTATGAGTGAGGTGAAAGTGTTGAACGATGATCAAAGTATTTTCTTTTCGGGGATTTTTTCTTTCTTTTTGGGTCACCATGCCTCGGTGGGAGATGGCCGACCTGTTAAAAAAAAAATCGCTCTGGAGCGCATTAAATGTCAGCTGCGAAACCTATACAAAATATATACGACATTTAAGCGCTCCAGAGTGATTCCCCTAAAACTGAGGGGCTCTTGATCTAGGGAATTGGATTATTTTTTTTTTATTATCACACTGGCCGATTCCCACCAAGGCAGGGTGGCCCGAAAAAGAAAAACTTTCACCATCATTCACTCCATCACTGTCTTGCCAGAAGGGTGCTTTACACTACAGTTTTTAAACTGCAACATTAACACCCCTCCTTCAGAGTGCAGGCACTGTACTTCCCATCTCCAGGACTCAAGTCCGGCCTGCCGGTTTCCCTGAACCCCTTCATAAACGTTACTTTGCTCACACTCCAACAGCACGTCAAGTATTAAAAACCATTCGTCTCCATTCACTCCTATCAAACACGCTCACGCGCGCCTACTGGAAGTCCAAGCCCCTCGCACACAAAACCTCCTTTACCCCCTCCCTCCAACCTTTCCTAGGCTGACCCCTACCCCACCTTCCTTCCACTACAGACTGATACACTCTTGAAGTCATTCTGTTTTGCTCCATTCTCTCTACATGTCCGAACCACCTCAACAACCCTTCCTCAGCCCTCTGGACAACAGTTTTGGTAATCCCACACCTCCTCCTAACTTCCAAACTACGAATTCTCTGCATTATATTCACACCACACATTGCCCTCAGACATGACATCTCCACTGCCTCCAGCCTTCTTCTCGCTGCAACATTCATCACCCATGCTTCACACCCATATAAGAGTGTTGGTAAAACTATACTCTCATACATTCCTCTCTTTGCCTCCAAGGACAAAGTTCTTTGTCTCGACAGACTCCTAAGTGCACCACTCACCCTTTTCCCCTCATCAATTCTATGATTCACCTCATCCTTCATAGACCCATCCGCTGACACGTCCACTCCCAAATATCTGAATACATTCACCTCCTCCATACTCTCTCCCTCCAATCTGATATCCAATCTTTCATCACCTAATCTTTTTATCCTCATAACCTTACTCTTTCCTGTATTCACTTTTAATTTTCTTCTTTTGCACACCCTACCAAATTCATCCACCAATCTCTGCAACTTCTCTTCAGAATCTCCCAAGAGCACAGTGTCATCAGCGAAGAGCAACTGTGACAACTCCCACTTTATGTGTGATTCTTTATCTTTTAACTCCACGCCTCTTGCCAAGACCCTTGCATTTACTTCTCTTACAACCTCATCTATAAATATATTAAACAACCACGGTGACATCACACATCCTTGTCTAAGGCCTACTTTTACTGGGAAATAATTTCCCTCTTTCCTACATACTCTAACTTGAGCCTCACTATCCTCGTAAGAACTCTTCACTGCTTTCAGTAACCTACCTCCTACACCATACACCTGCAACATCTGCCACATTGCCCCCTATCCACCCTGTCATACGCCTTTTCCAAATCCATAAATGCCACAAAGACCCCTTTAGCTTTATATAAATACTGTTCACTTATATGTTTCACTGTAAACATCTGGTCAACACACCCCCTACCTTTCCTAAAGCCTCCTTGTTCATCTGCTATCCTATTCTCCGTCTTACTCTTAATTCTTTCAATAATAACTCTACCATACACTTTACCAGGTATACTCAACAGACTTATCCCCCTATAATTTTTGCACTCTCTTTTGTCCCCTTTGCCTTTATACAAAGGGACCATGCATTCTCTCTGCCAATCTCTAGGTACCTTACCCTCTTCCATACATTTATTAAATAACTGCACCAACCACTCCAAAACTATATCCCCACCTGCTTTTAACATTTCTATCTTTATCCCATCAATCCCAGCTGCCTTACCCCCTTTCATTTTACCTACTGCCTCACGAACTTCCCCCACAACATTTTATTAGCTCCACGGCTAACATCCGACACCCATGACGACTCACGAGATACTGTATGCTCCTGTAAGGGCATACTGACACTAGTGGGCAGTCTTTACTTTGTCTAACAGTCATATTCCATACAAAGGTCGTATACCAAGCATAAATTTTCACGTCCAAACAGGACATATACCAAGTTGGACACATTCCAAAGCAAGCATATACCGAGGTACCAATGTATACACCAATGGTCCCAGAACTGAAATGTACATAATCATACAAATTTATCTTCTTCCTGCTTGTGCAAGATGAAAACAGTGTACGCAAACCCAATTGACTAACCTGAGCAATAGGTGGTGTATTCACCAGGCACTGGATTCCTGCTGCCATGAAGCAAGTATTACCCAAATTCCGAAGGCCACATATGCCGCCAACTGCATTTTCATCTGTCAAATGTGAATTAGGATATATGAAAACGATAAACTGTAGGAGAAAGCAACTGTGCAGAAGGATGTCAACCAACATCAATACACGAATAGGAAAGACAGTGTAATGAAATCCTACACTAATATTTCACTCACATAGTGGCCTTTTTCAAGTCACAAACAGCAAAAACCTGGATGAGCATATTGTATATAGGAAGCATAGTGAGGTGTGACATATACCTGGAGAGGATTTTGGCGTTCAACTCCCCCACGGCCTGGTCTGTGACCAGGCCTCATGGTGGATCAGGGCCTGATCAATCAGGCTGTTACTGTTGGCTGCACACAATCCAACGTACAAACCACAGCCCGGCTGTTCAGGTACTGGCTTTAGGTGCCTGTCCAGTGCCTTCTTGAAGACAGCCAGGGGTCTATTGGTAATCCCCCTTATGAATCCTGGGAGGCAGTTGAACAGTCTATGGCCCCTCACACTTTATTATGTTGTCTATTATCATGCTAGTGGTGCCCTGCTTTTCATTGGGGGGATGTTGCATCATCTGCCAAGTCATTTACTTTCATAGGGAGTGATTTTCGTTTGCAAGTTTGGTACTAATCCCTCTAGGATTTTCCAAGTGTATATAATCATGTATCTCTCCCGCTTGTGTTCTAGGGAGTACAGGTTGAAGAACTTCAAGCATTCCCAGTAATTGAGGTGTTTTATTGCACTTATGTGTGCCATGAAGGTTCTCTGTACATTTTCTAGGTCAGCAATTTCACCTGCCTTGAAAGGTGCTTGTTAGTGTGCAGCAATATTCCAGTCAAGATAGAACAAGAGACCTGAACAGTGTCATCATGGGCTTGGCATCCCTAGTTCTGAAGGTTCTCATCATCCATCCTGTCATTTTTCTAGCAGATGCGATTGATAATATGCTGTGGTCTTAGAAGGTGAGATCCTCTGACATCATCACTCCCAGGTCTTTTACTTTAATTTTTCATTCTATTGTGTGGCTGGAATTTGTTTTATACTCTGTTTTCAGGATAGGAGTGTAAAGCTTAAACCTTGTCAACTTGAAAAAAATGGAAGGCAAATATATATGATTGAGTAGGGTTAGATTTGAGAAGAACCTGCGTAGCGAGGGCCAGTAGGCGTAATGCAGTTTTCCACTGCGTTACTGTATTTGAAACCTGTTTACGTTTCTTGGCAAGAGGTTCAGTTATGTCGTAAAAGCCACTATTCTGGTTGAAATTCTTAGACATGCTGATGAATGATGATTCCATTATCCTGAGTGTCCTAGTGTCCTCTTAGACTGAGTCAGCATCCTTGCAACTGATCAACTGTGAAACACAGGTGTTCCATTCTGTTGGCATATGGGTGCTTCAGAAATGTGTGTGTAGAGATTTCTTTAAGTTTTGCCCAGGTATATTTGGTAATAGTTTTTGCAAGAGATTGTGTATACCCTTGCCGTAGTTTGGACATGGTGGTAGTGGTCTTTACTGGTGATAAGAACATAAGAAAGGAGGAATACTGCAGCAGGCCTGTTGGCCCATACTAGGCAGGTCCTTTACAATTCATCCCACTAACAAGCATTTGACCAACCCAATTTTCAATGCTACCCAAGAAATAAGCTCTGATGTGCAACTCCCACTCAAATCCAACACTTCCCACTCATGTACTTACCAAACCTAAATTTGAAACTACCCAAAGTCCTAGCCTCAATAACCCAACTAGGTAGACTGTTCCACTCATCAACTACCCTATTTCCAAACCAATACTTTCCTATGTCCTTTCTAAATCTAAACTTATCTAATTTAAATCCATTACTGCGGGTTCTCTCTTGGAGAGATATCCTCAAGACCTTGTTAATATCCCCTTTATTAATACCTATCTTCCACTTATACACTTCGATCAGGTCTCCCCTCATTCTTCGTCTAACAAGTGAATTTAACTTAAGAGTCTTCAATCTTTCTTCATAAGGAAGATTTCTAATGCTATGTATTAATTTAGTCATCCTACGCTGAATGTTTTCTAACAAATTTATGTCCATTCTGTAAAAGGAGACCAGAATTGAGCTGCATAATCTAGGTGAGGCCTTACTAATGATGTATAAAGCTGCAGTATGACCTCTGGACTTCTGTTGCTTACACTTCTTGATATAAATCCCAGTAATCTATTTGCCTTATTACGTACGCTTAGGCATTGCTGTCTTGGTTTAAGGTTGCTGCTCACCATAACCCCCAAGTCCTTTTCGCAATCTGTGTGGCTAAGTTCTACATCATTTAACTTGTAAGTGCTAGGGTTATGGACACTCCCGAGCTTCAGAACCTTGCATTTATCTACATTGAACTGCATCTGCCACTTTTCTGACCAAGAGTAGAGTTTGTCTAAATCCTCCTGAAGTTCCCTAACATCTACGTTTGAATCAATTATCCTACCTATCTTCGTGTCATCGGCGAATTTGCTCATATCACTAGTAATTCCTTCATCAAGATCATTGATATATATTATAAAACAACAACGGGCCCAAGACTGATCCCTGTGGAACGCCACTTGTTACTGATCCCCAATCGGATTTAACCCCATTTATGGACACTCTTTGCTTCCTGTCTGTGAGCCATGATTCGATCCACGAGAGCACCCTTCCCCCAATGCCATGAGCTGCTACTTTCTTCAACAGTTTTTGGGTGCGGAACTCTATCAAATGCCTTACAAAAATCTAAGTAAATAATATCAAATTCTTTATCGTGGTCAACAGCCTCAAAAGCTTTACTGAAGAAAGTTAATAAATTAGTTAGAGAAGACCGGCCTCTTGTGAATCCATGCTGAGTATCATTAATCAAGCTATGCTTATCGAGATGGCTTCTTATAACCTGAGCTATAATTGACTAGTAATTTGCATACGATTGGGGTCAGCTTATTGGGCGGTAATTTGACGGTAGCGACTTGTCCCGTTTTAAAAATAGGAATTACATTAGCCGTCTTCCACATATCAGACACTACACCTGTTTTAAGAGATAAATTAAAAATATTAGTTAATGGTTCACAGACTTCCATTTTGCATTCCTTTAGAACCCTTGAAAAAACCTCACCCGACCCGGTGACTTATTTTGCTTCAGTTGGTCTATCTGCTTCAAAACCCAAATTTCACTAGTGACTGTGATGTTACATAATTTATCTTCTTCTGATCCACTATAAAAATTAATTACTGGAATATTATTAGTGTTTTCCCTGTGTAAAAACCGAGAGAAAATAATTATTTAAAATCGAGCACATTTCATTCTCTTTGTCAGTAAGATGCCCATAGTTATTTTTAAGGGGACCTATCTTATCTCTGACTTTTGTTCTATAGCCCTGGAAAAAACTTTTTGGGTTAGTTTTAGAATCCCTAGCAACTTTAATTTCATAGTCCCTTTTAGTTTTTTCTTATCCCCTTTTTAATGTCCCTCTTAATGTCAATATACTGATTCATAAGATGACCCTCGCCTCTTTTGATACGCCTATAAATTCCTTTCTTATGCCCTAGTAGATATTTCAGCCTATTATTCATCCATTTTGGGTCATTTCTATTTGATCTAATTTCCTTATAAGGGATAAACATTCTTTGAGCAGCATGTATTGTGCTCAGAAAACTGTCATATTGATAGCTCTCTTCGTTACCCCAGTCAACAGATGATAAGTGTTCTCTAAGCCCATTGTAATCTGCTAAGCTAAAATCTGGGACTGTTACTGAGTTATCCCTACTATCATACTTCCATTCAATTCTAATGTAATTGATTTGTGGTCGCTAGCACCCAGTTCCTCTGAAACTTCTAAATTATTAACAAGGGATTCATTGTTTGCCAGAACTAAGTCAAGCAGGTTATTACCCCTTGTAGGTTCTGTCACAAACTGCTTCAAAAAACAATCCTGAACTACTTCTAAGAAGTCATATGATTCTAAATTCCCAGTCAAGAAATTCCAATCAATATGACTAAAGTTAAAGTCTCCTAGAATTACTACATTATCGTGCCTTGTGGCCCTAACAATTTCCTCCCATAGTAGTCTCCCCTGGTCCCTATCTAAATTTGGGGACGGTATATCACACCTATAATTAATTTTTCATGCCCCTCTGAAAATTCTATCCAAACAGACTCTGTATGTGTTACTTCAGACTTAATACCCGTTTTTATGCAACAGTTCAAGCGATCTCGGACATACAATGCCACGCCACCCCCCCTTCCCGATACTTTTATCTACTTGGAACAATTTAAAACCCTGAATGTGACATTCTGCTGCATGTCCCGACTTTTTGAATTAAACCACGTCTCAGTAATGGCAAATATATCTATGTTACCTGCACTAGCAACTAGTCTCAACTCGTCCATCTTATTCCTAGCACTGCGACTAAATTTTTGTAATAAATATTTAAAGACCCTCCTCTCTCTTTACCCTTCCTGCTCCTTTCTGTTATTCCACTAAACCTATTACTGTCCTTGTCAATTAGTGCCACTGGCTTTCCAATATCCACCTCATTTTGCCTATTACTAGTTTCTCCTAGTACTCATATTTTCTACCCTGCGACTTCACAGTTTTCCCGCCAAAACCATACCACTAACTATTCCCAGTTTAAAGACCTAACAGCTCCCTCCACTGCGTTGGCCAGTGCTTCCACCCCACACCTAGATAAGTGAACCCCATCCCTGGCATACATGTCATTTCTGCCATAGAAGAGGTCCCAGTTGTCAATGAATGTTACCGCATTTTCCTTACAGTATTTGTCCAGCCACAATTGACACCAATTGCTCTGGACAACCATTCATTTCCAACTCCTCTCCTTGGCAAAATGCCACATATGACAGGTTTCCCACCCTTCCTCCTAATTATCTCTATTGCTGACCTATACCTGCTAATCAGGTCCTCACTCTTACGTCTGCCAACATCGTTGCCTCCAGCACTGAGACAGATAATAGGATTGCTCCCATTACCTCTCATGATGTCATCTAGATGGCTAACAATATCCTTCATCCCAGCCCCAGGAAAACACACT